GTTAAAAGTTTCAAATACCTTCAAATAATATTCATAAATTACTAAAAGCTAACTAAAATCGTTATTTTTCGATATCATATCTAATTTATTATTTGCGTCTTAATTTGAACAATAAAGGTGGAAATTGTATATATATTTATAGTTTCTTTATGAACTACTTATAAGGAATATTGTATATTATACATAATATTCAAGCATCAGGTATAAAAATTCAAAATGTTATACATTTTTAACTAAAGACAGTTTGAGCATTATCGTAAATTTACGGTTTTTGTTAAAATTTGAACTTTAATTTTTGTTTTTGTTTTGGTGTTAAAAACTTATGAAAAACGTTTTATTAAAATTTCAAAGTATTTGACCGCGCAAACATTTTTTATTGACATCTATAGTAAAAGCTCTAAAAAAATGAGAAATGCCAAATGCCTATTTATAACTCAAAAAGAGTTAAAATAATATAAATTGATAATTTAAACATTTGGTGAAAATGTTAAGTATCTACAGTTATTCGTTTTTGAGTTACACTATTAAAACAAAATGGATTAATCAAAACTAGTTTTGCATTAAAATTCTCCTTGCTCCTTAATTTTTTGTTAGTTTTTCCTGATTGTATTGAAAATTTCTAGGGATTTTTTAATTTGTATTCCTCAAAATATAATAAGTAGCTAGATCCAATTTTCAACTATAAATTATCCTTAAAGTTGAAAATAAAAGCATTTTTACATTTCATTGCTCCAAAAAAATAATGACAGACACAAAAAAAAAAATATACATCGTTGTAAGATCAATAAATTCGTCATTCTGCTCAGAATCAAAAACATGTTTACAAAATATAAATAAATTAAAAGTGCCACGTTAAATTAACTCAATTTTTATGCCTGAGCWGCATAATTGAGTTGATAATTTAAAAACTAATGTAATTTGTTCTAAAAAATGTTAATAAACTAAAAGTGAAAAGTGTAATAACCTGCTTAGTACTTAGGTATTGGTCGTTAAATACGTTTTGCAAAATTGTAAAAATAAAGAAACATAATTCAAATGACCAATTATTTAGGTATTTATTATTGATATAAGTTGATAAAAGTTATTTCAATGATCGTAATAATGTAATCAAAATTAAAGAACTAATTTTTATAATTATATTGACAAATACGTTTTGCTCATTTTTTTTAGTGTAAAATGCTTTTATATTGGTAGGTACATATAATTATTTTAGAAAAAATGAAGTGAGGATTTTTAAAAGAATATTACAATTTTAAACTATATAATAAAATAATATTAAACGATTATAATACGCAATCACGTACATTGGTACGTTTATTGATAGGATATAGGTACTACAATAATTAAGTATAATATATTTAATAGGTTATTATTTTTGTAACAACTTTCTTTAGGTATTTTATTTTTTTAATGAATGAAAATTAAATTGTCCCACATAGTAGTCGATTTCTAATAGTCACTGTGTACTGTATAACAATAATTGTAAAATACTATAGATTTTGTCATAAACACAGATTGTCATGATGATAATTCTGATACTGATTTAAAAGTATTTAGGTGATTTAAAAAGCTTAAAAAAATGATAATATGTATAATATATTTAGAGTTAAATAATAGATATAAGCATAGATAAATCTAATGAACRTATATTTTTGATTAGTTATTTCTTAACTGTTCATTATACATTTATAAATAAATATATATATATATATATATGTTAGTTGCTTTGTATGATATTGATATGAAATTGTGTTGGAAATCGGATAATATGTATATGCAAGGTGTTTAATTAAAATTTCAGCAATTTAAAATGTAGGTTTATTAATTAATATTATTCGTTATTTGATCATTAAGTATTGGGAAGTTGCAGATGGATGCTATTTATATACATTAAAGTATACCTACATACTTAACATATTAATAATAACATTGGAAAATAAATTATAAATTATTTATTTTGTGGTTTGTTAAGAGCCTTTACAATATTCATCAAATAAACCGGTATTCATTCAAATGCGGAAGTCCCTAAGAGGTGATAATAATATTATATRGAATTATTAAGTTGAACATAATACATTATAGTGGTAAAATAYTGACTTTAATTACTTCAAGGGGCAGTTTATATAATATAAATATTAAATACACATCATACATATTATAGTATTATTATATCCTAACAGTGTTACACATTTTTTCCCATTTGATAAATTTAAATTTGTTTTAAAACATAAAATCATAAAATATCAACTTATTTATTTATTCATATACGTATACTTAAATATAAATTTTGAACGCCTTTTAATAAGATTAAATGGATCATGTAATTAGGTATCATGAACATATACATATATAATATATATGTGTATAATATTATTTTATTGGTACATAATATTAAAAATATTATTTGAAATTGTTCATAAAATATATTCTAATATTTAAAGTATTAAGTAGGTATTTAGAAATATAAGTTGGGAACTTAAAATAAAAACTAAATGCATTTTACAAATGTTACAATACTTGACTATTATGGGAATTTTCGTCTCGTGTAAATAAGTACTAAGTAGATACATTTAAAAAAATGTTTATGCTTCAGTAGCTAAAAAAAAAGTTTTTAAGTATAACACATTTATAAGTTATACATAATTTAATATATTTCTAAAACAGAATATTTTAATTTGTAATATAAGTTATTGAGGAGTTATTACATATTACTTTATATATTATATTTGTTTTTAAAATTTTTTAAAAACATAATCATATAATTTAAGAAATAAAATATTATACTTATATTAGCTCTGTTATTATATATGTTAAAAATTTGTGAAAAGTATTAATTTCTCCATAAATTAATTTATCGCTTGATCCGAATAWTTAAWTAAAAAATAATATTAAAACGTATTTTGTTTTCATAAATATATGTATATGAATAGTGAATACATTACAATATTATTGTATCCATATATTAAACACCTATAATTATAATAATATTTGGTTTAGAAAAAAAAWTTTTAAACTTCACGATATTATACTTAGCAAAGTAATTTTAAAAGTCTTTTTTAATGGATATAATGATATCATATACATTCCAACATTTTATTAATAATTCGATTTGTATGATAATMTTTAATGCATATAATTTAATTATTGGTRCCTACTTAAGTAAATTAACATTTAAAAAAAGTTGAAGTTCTGCCATGGGCATTATTTTTTTCCACATATGGTATATATTATACATACTTTTCTATAAAATATGCGTGTAAGGTGTAACTTATTCTTGCAAAATATTATTAGTGGAAATACTATAAAACACCTGTTCAAATTTTAATTTTGGCAATCGTGATTTTAGATTTTGAGCGGAGCGAGGATTGTATTGGTTTTACAATGATATTTTTTTCTTTTTTATTCTGTAAACACTTTTTCTCCCTCTAAACTTGCTCAAAAGTATCAAATATAGCATCTTTTCTGAAAAGGTAATGTTCTTGAGCTAGTGCTTTGGAAAGGTCATTTTTAGATTTTCGAAACGGTTCTCGAAATAACAGTGGTTAAGGGAGAAAAATCGTATGACTTCACGATTTTATAATATTAAATAATTACGGACGACGTTTTCTACCAGAAATATTGCTTCAAATGAAAAATGAAAAGAGATGTTAAGTGTCGTATTTTGGATTTTGTTCCTACGGTTTAAAGTTCGGAAAATTTTAGCCATTTTTGAGCTTTTTTTTGTGTCTGTCATCACGTTTTTTCGCAGTAAAAGTGCTTCGATTTTCGACTTCAGTACCTGTTTCGATCAGAAAGTGATTTAGTTGGTCACAAAAATTCGCAAATAATTTTAAGCTAGATATTCATAAAAAATTTTCCTTTTAAATCTAAGATATAATAAGTAATAATAATCTATAATATATCCTAGACTGCAGATAAACAGTCGCCGTTCAGAAKCGTTTTTCGTATACAATGATATAATACCATTGGATTCAAATTTAATTCCATCCATTACAGTAACCCACTTGTAACCTACTGTACAGCAGAGCGATATCCACTTTCTAGGTTTTTAATTATAGATTTTAGTACATTTTCATGAGCATTAATGATAATTTTTAAAATTTAATGTTTTATACGATTAATTTTATTGTTGGAAATAGTATTTAATTTTCAAAACATGTCTAGATAGTGATTCTGTAAATCGATCACGGTATCATAAAGTGTTTCATACATCCACAAAATTGTATTTAAAAAAATTGTTTTTCGTAGGTAAATCTTTTAAAAAATTTCAGTTTTTTTTTTCTAATCAGCTATCACTTTATTGTAGGATTGTAATAATAAAAATGTGTATTATGTAAAACGTACGTTTGTGTATGTAGAAAAGATTTTCAGTCAATTAATAATGTATTTATATATTAACCGCAGTGTTATAAACCGTATTATTTTTTTTTGTCGTAAACCGTCTTCGTTGTTTCCTCCCAGACGGGGATTGTTCGTGGGTCAAGATTAATTACCCAATTTAACTTTTCCGAATCAAAAATTAGGTGTATATAATTAAGTTTGAGATTTACCGGAAAGGGGTTGGAACGTTTCTTGTCTTATATTTCTCTTAAGTAAACTTCCCTTTAATGATTTTAAGTTAAGTAATGGAACATGTAGGATACAAAAAATGAAGACTAAGACTGAGTTTTCACTCTACGATTAGTTTTCATTCATACCAATCTACACTATATAAACAGAAATTAAATTAATAATATTTTATTAAGTTTGATGATTTTGAAATTCAAATTGTACTTATATATTATGTTTTTGTTTGTATGTGAAATATACCTTTACAACTAATTAATGTAATGTAATCTATTAAAAATCATAATCATGGTCATTATTATAAATAAGACAAAAATTATTTTATCAAATATAAATGTTATRCCTACATCGAATATTTTTTTTCTTGCTAAACAAATAGTTATTTACGTACCTATTTTAATATTAAAACTAAAATGTGTATTGGATTTTTTCAGATGTAATGGGGAAGAAGCTAAGGAGGTGGTCATCGAGACGGCACTTGGTCAAAACCAGTCCGGCGATTCCGAATCATCGTAGTTATCTCCAAATAACCATTTCTTTACTCCATCGTCGTATACTATAATACTGCCAGTGAGCTCGCTAAAAGATCGGATGAACTTTTTATGTGTTTTATCAATGTGCTTAACCTTAACGTAAATAGAGAGACACGATAAAAGCGCACTCGACCTAATCTTTCAGCAACCTCTGTGGCTCTGTTTATAAATCATATCTGACTTACGTCCATGATACGATATAATAATAACATTGCGGCGTRAACTCGAAAATAATAAAATATATAATTTAAGTGTCCGTCGTTACTGAAAACTAGTTCCTCTGAAAAATACTGTGTTATAGGTATTTCTATAAGAAAATATATTACAAATTATTAAAAAAAAAAAATGTTTGGTAGTTTATAACGGCAAAAACGTTTTTTGTTCCCACCTAAACTAGCCGATAAATTTGTTCCGATGCTATCAGTAATTTTCTAAATCGATATCATCTCAAACTCTAAATTGCCAACTGTTATTTTCGGGAAAAACAAACAACAGGGGATTCATCATTATTTATTTCATTTTTTTATTTCGTCTGTTGTTATACTTTCCATTTTTTTCATTTTCTATAAATTTCTTACACCTTAAAAGTATTCAATATAAGGAACACCCGTTGATATTTTATATCAGTCATAACGAACCGTAGTTCTGTGTTAACAGTAGATTTGACTATTATTCGATGTTGGTAGTTCGATTTTAAAATATATTCTTGCCTATTCAGCGATAAAAATAATTGCATAGTTTTTATAAACTAAAAAATAATCCGCCTACAATATAAAACAATAAATTAAACTCCTATGTTGTGTTGGATATTTTATTTTAATATTACAAAATTAATTTTAATATTATTTGTGTCGATCATAAATKTATAATCTTCTTAACCATTTGTACAGTACGAATTATTCAACACTGAAAGATTACATAATATCGTGCTATGCATTAGGTGTTTATTATTGTATTATTTAGTGAATATTTTCTCATAGTAAACTAAGGCATATTTATGCATTTTTTTTCTTTTAATAATTTATTTATGTTATTGATAGTTGTATTGATTTAGATTTTATTAATTTATTATGATTTTTTTTTTTAAATAAAATACTTAATTGAATTAATCATGTATTTATTTATTATTTTGATCCACTAGTTTTATGAATATCTTATACTTATAATTTATTTTGTTTTTTATTTGATAAGGAAATCATTTACTATTCATATTTACTTGCAAATAATTTGTGAAGTGATCAAAATTTTATGAAATAATAATTTATTTAATGTTTAAATCGTCACAGATATTTGTATTGTCACTGCTTGGTGTAACAATAAAAATTTAACTATTATGATTTCTGAAATTAACATTTTGTTTTAATATTTGTAACTGTATTTAAAAAATATTAAAAATTTTATTACGGATTTTAGTGTAGGTTGTTTAATGGTTAAGTTCCATCATAAATACTTTCATAACTCTGATGAGATATTTTATAAATATGTAAACCTACCTAAAATCAGACGTAATAAAAGTATTAAGTATGTTTTTTACTTTATAGTGACGGATTGAAGTCGAGTCTTATAATATTGTAGTTTACAGTTAACAATTTTGTGTGGAATAAATCTATATGCTTAAGGTATAAAAAAAAAGATGAAGCACTTTATTTTGAAAATYGGCAAGAAACGTCTACTTTTAAATAGAACGATATAATAATATTTAATACAGTCTGCAGATAATGCAAATCTTTACAACCTGTCAAAATGGCTAGCGTCCTCTAACGGTTGACGTCGTGACCATTATAGATGTTTCATGATTAATAGAAGATTGAATARAACGACTAAGGTATAACAATATCTTAGTTCRTGTCGAACAGTAAGATCACTTAGATGTGTTCGAGGCAAAGTTTATATTTTGTATTTCACTATTATTATCATTTGATATGCTCTTAAATTGTTACGATCATTAACACACAGTAAATTCAACAATATTATACGTACTATACGTACGTTCAATTTTAGTTACATTGTGATACAACAAACCTCGTCCTCAACTTGTAGAATGGTCYGATATCATATTTTTTATATTTTTGGTATTTATRTTTTTTATTTATATAACCCAAGTCTTGTAGGTTTTATATTTGACACAAATATTGTACAAATCTTGTGTTGAATTTTCATAGATTTTTTTGTGTTACTATATATCATAAAAGTTTGTGCCTTCAAAATATTATGTTGCTACAATCTTTTTTTAAATTATGTAATTTATTAAACATAACCTATAGTGAATTAATATAGCCAGATTTGAATTAATTTCTATTATTTCATTACAATAATAATAATACATTATGTCTTGTTTTATAAATTTTATACCTACTTGAATATTATTTTGATTAAATCTCTGTACAGCCAATACTTTAATTTGTTACYCCGAGTGAAATATTATTATTATAAATTTATAWAGATTTTTGATTAAATAATATTAGACTGATAATAATCAAATGTACAATACAAGTACACACTTACTTATATATTATTATTATTTTTATTTTGCTTTAATATTCCCATTCTCAACATTGTATATTATAGGTACTTGTTTCCTATTACATACTTTCGAAAATTAATGATATAAATTTGGAGTTTGAGTWGAATACCGTCCAACACCGAACGACCCAACATCGAGAGTATTGTGTTATTGATAATCCAACTGATCACTYTCATTACAAGGTACGATATAATTATAAATATTTTAATTTATGGTTTGAAAAGATTGTTTTTTTGAAACATCGCATGAATGTCGGTGAACGTTCGGACGAATAAGTGACACACACGGTGATAATGGGTATTCAGTTAAATAGTTTTTTCATTATATTATCATCCATACTTTGATGCGAAATGTTGATGTGTGTGTTTATAAGGCGCAGAGAATACAATATAAATATTTCAAGTGCRCATAATATTTAGCATGTACAATTTAGGTACTATAAAAATAACTTTGTGTTAATATAGAGGGACGAAAAACGCTATTCARCAAAATATAAATGACATACGCAGTGACAACAACGACTGAAGCATCGACTTAATGCTGTTATCAACTATATAATACAATTATGATCTACATGATATTATTACGGCACCTAAATATCACCATTATAAATGTTTTTTGTTTTATCGTATTATTTTAATTAATTATTACGTACTTGTGTCAGGCAGGTGTWTAATTGTATCGAAGATGCGAGTACAACGATGGTGTTTGTTATTGTACTTACGTCGAAACGATGACGTCCCTGCAACGTGCGCGGTGTCACCACAAAGCGAAGAAGCGTGTGTTCGTCCCCGGCAGTAGCGCCATGACGCACCACCGGGTCGGATGTTAGAGCAGCACGCCGCGCTCTCAGGTCGGAAGTGATTATACCCTCGCAAATCGCGTCGACCACACGACATATTATATTATACCCATCGAACAACGTGATTCTTCGCGGTAAAATAGCGTAATAATAATATTATCTYGTTCGGCGTAACATATTATTTGCGCGAGGAAAGGCGACGATATCACAACCGTAATAATAATATTTTGTCGTATCRGAAGTAATACGGAGCTATAGAGACTCCAACGTCTTGCTTTTTTTTTACGGYCACTGCAATGTTAGTGGTAACAGTTGGTGCAGAATAGTGCAGCGGTGTCGTTACGCGGACGACTTTGAAGGTAATAATTTATTATTGTCACTCAAAATGTTAAATACAAAAAAAATAATAATAAAGATTTACGTTACTCGGAGTAGTAACAATAGTATTGCATATAGGTAGAGTTCGGTAGATTTTATAGTAGGTACATATTTTAAACGATAATATTGTCGTATGATACGTAGATCCTTTTTTTTTTTATCTAATTCCATATGAGCTATTGCATGAATTAAATTTTTTTTAGAGATTTAAATATAAAATTACTAGGTATTTAAAAAAAATAAATATTTTACGCGTACTTACAAAAACACGATAAACACTAATACTTAGTGAATATATTATTTAAAAAAATTTTACCTCATAATTATTTGCTTAGTATAAAGAAAAAAAATGTCCAGATTGGAATACTTCAAATACTTGATGACAGTTGACTTCAAATTTCAAATTTAATTTTGAGGTACCTAATCATTATTATATTAGTTTAATATGTTTATTCATTTATTTAWGATACTTGTTTAACTAATAATTTAAAATAATACTCAAAATTATWATTTTTATTTTTAACTGATTTTTTAAATAATTATTGTCAATATCGCTGTAAATGCTTAATCAAATATTAATATAATGACGACGATTTTAATAACATACACATTTTTATGAAATTGATTTGTGTTTATGGGTTATTAAAAAGGTAATATTTTTTTGCGTTTATGGGTTATTTATTTTTGCACTTTTGGGTCACGTTGGGTTCATAATTCGCGCTTATGTGCTACAGCCGGCGTTGCTACCTCCCGGATGGATGACCATCCGGGATCTTTTAGCAACAAAACGCTTGCCACAAATACAATACATGTTCCAAACCAATCCCCTCCCCCCTAAAAACAGCTAAAACGGCAATAATAGTGACCACGGGCTTAGGATCAATAATAAAAATAAAAATAAATGATTATTACTATTATTATTTATGATAACTGATTAATAGGTAAGGAATGAGTATAAAACAATTAATAGTATAATCACTATTAAAATTTAAAATTATTTTTAAACAAAAAATCATTTACCCACAGTAATGTTTTATATAATTTACAAAATTAGCAATTCCAATAGATGTAAAAAAGTAAAAAATTATTTATTTTTTTTGTGTGGTAAAAATGCTGCCGCAGGCTTATGAATAAATAAAACGGTTAGGTTACAATGGTTGATTTATAAAAAGCTAATTTGACTACTGTTTTTTTATACGTAACAAGTTGCACTGYCATCGGTTTACGACCCAACTGCGTGAATAAAGTAAATTGTCGTTACGTACCTACTTATAAGAAAAAAATCTAAGAATTTTTTTGTAAACGACATGTTAAGAAATTTAATTCTTGAGAAATCTAAATTTTTTATTTTTTTCATTACTAAATATAAATCTGATATTTTAGAAATTGTTGGTATGTTCATATTAGGTATAAATTTATTTGATTTTTGAATTTCTTAATAAAACTCGAGAAAAAAATACGTACATGGAGCAAAATATTTTTTCCATAGAACTAATATAGTACATTATTATCTACGTTGGTGAGTGGAGGGTGAAGACTCAGTGGTGCAGTTGCGTATAAACGTCTGCATTTTTCTATACATTATAACAGTATTACCAAGATAATCATAAGTATTTTTGTTTTTTTTTTTAACATAAAAAGTTGCAGATAAAATGCCGTTTACTTCCGCACTAACCAACTTTTTATTTTTCCTGATTTATAAAATATGTAAAATTATTCAAAACAGTTGATGGAGCAATCAGAACTTTGTGATCGATTTATTTATGAGGTATGCATCTCTTTTTTATTGCTGCAGAAGCGCATGTGTGCAAGCATTTTTGCTGCAGGTCTACAATATTTTCAAATATTAAAATATTTAACTATCACATTTTAAAAGATCATAATTTATAATTTATTTTTCAGTTTTTTTTTGCATTGATACAACAAAAAGTGGATCATAAGACGTTTTTTTTTTTCGTATGGCGCTATGTCCGGGAGTAGGCCCAAAGGCCTAGTTCAGACGCCTGTTTGGCATAATTTCTATTGGGGCACCCGTAGGTTTCTACCATGCCCCGGAGTGGGGGATGGCGGCACTTGTTCTCCGGACACCATGACTTGCCCGGAGAAAAATGCCGCCCGATTGTCGAGGATCAAACCCGGTCCGGCTGAGCCACAGCCGACGCGTTAGACCACTCGGCCACCTCGTCCTCCTCATAAAACGTGTTTGAATATTTCACAGGTGTTTGATTGGTGTATCTACGATCACATCAATTGAAAAATACAACTACCCTTTTTTAAATAAGCAGTTTTCAACATTGAAATATTTTGAAGACTTACAAATTAAGCGCGACGTTAATCGCGTTGTTTAATATATTTTCTAAAATTCAATATCACCCAAATTTGCGGTGAAAAATRATTGKAGAATTTATAAGTACACCGAACTGCGCTGTAGTCAGTYCGGTACTATTATTATTTATTTATYTAATTATCAGTGAATTTATTTTTTATTTTTTTAACCACACGTGTGCCTAAAATATAATGTATGTATTGGTTTTATGAGTATAAAGCGTAGGCAAATAAGGTTGTTATTTATTTTAATATTTGAAATATATCTCCTATAGTTCACTTCAATAGTGAACTTTTTCCATCAGCATATAAATTGGATGAAGTTCATATTAGACTTTAAGATATTCTGAAAATGTCATCTTACAARTTATACGAACGTCAACTGCGAGCGATTGTCAATAGTTGGGAAAATCTACTGGCAATTTAATATGTTGTTCGGTGTCATATTATTATATAGAAATGTTGTGCACGCATTATGCGAATGTTGTTTATTTTATACGTAGATTGATTAACAATATTAGCTGAAATATTGTCTGGACTTTTGTTATGGATTGACAAAAACAAAACAAAAAAAAACAATTACAAGATCCCTCGGACCCTAGGATTAAACGTAAGGTCAAATTATTTATATAGTTTATATATTTATATAGTTTTTAAATTTGACCAACTTCCAGGTAATAGCTCATTTATTTATAACATAGTATTGAATAATATTTTTTATGCGTAATTATTGATAAAAATAACTACACACAATAAGCGTACAGTTTGCGGTGCGAAGATAAATGATTACTGTGTTCCATCTATTATTATAATACCTATTCAAACAAATTATCTAAAACGTCGTTAGGTATTAACAACATTTCAGTAGGGTTTTGAAAGACAAGATAAACACATTAGGTAAATCGAGCTGTTCTTACAGTCTTTATTCAAATTCGTCATTGCGGTTTTGAATTCAAAACAATTATTTAAAACTACCTTAGTTCGGGTTGAATGAAGCACTTTGCATTCTTCTATTTGCAACTGTTTTCTAAACTAACAACGGCCTATACTAACGCACAAGTAACTTCCGGTAAAATCATTTTTGTTTGTTTGTTTTTTTTTTTGTATAGATATGAGCCCCCCACCCAGTATTTAAAAAGGCTATAGAACATATACAGATTACAGAACTTAGAAAGAGAGTACAAATAATGTAGGACGATTGAAGACGATTTTAGAAGATTGATGTTTAAGATTAATTGGGTACGYGGTACAAGTTTTGTTGGATATAATAGGTATGGTTGCCAAAACGGAAATACCGGTTGAACATCAACAGCGAAAATAGTACTTCCGGCCCGGAGAAGTGTATATAGTCCGAGGTCGAAATATTATGTGATCACCAAAGGCCTCTAACACCGCCAAACTACGGAAACGGGCATGGTTGTACCGGAAGTCAGTTTTTATGAGTTGCAATGTTCGGGGGTTGCCGAGTGTACCACTGTTAAAATTTGCAATTATTTATATATTTTTATTGTTGTTTTTTTCTACATAATATGGTTGATGTGTTTGGTTCGTAATATTTTTGTAGAGATAGATAAATGAAGGGATAAATATTTTATAGTACAATTTATTATTATATTATGATTTATTATGATTTATAACAATAATTCATCGTAATATTTTAATTTTAAAAATACAAAAATTAACAAAAAATATCAGTAGGGTAAAAAAAAAA